GACATCAGATCTGATATTATCTGTGCCTTTTCTTTTTTATGGGAAATAAGAAAAGGAAAGCTCCATCTGGACCTTTCCTCTGGTCGAATGTTAAACAGGCCTGGATGAGGACCTCTGAGTGGAGCTTAATGTAGTGCGGTTCAGAGGTGGAGAGCATGTTGGCGTCTCCCCAGGGGGGAAACCGGGGTCAAAGGAACACGGCCCCCAAACCCCTGAGAGGGACCCCGGTCATCTTTCTGCCTGTTTGATTCAGAGCAGGTGTCACAGGGGGGTTCAAGAGAAAGCAGTTTCAAAAGAAGTTAAACCTCCATTAAACCTCCAATTCAGCAATTGGAGGTTTATTCATCTCTGTTTATTAAAATCAGATTAAAGGTCAGGCTTAAAAGAAGGGCAAAGAAGGGCTCCACTCCCCGCGTTAAAAGTGGAGTGGCTGGGTCTTCCAACCCAGCCACTCTCCCTTTTTTTTTCTAGCAAAAAAAAAAAAAAGTAAATCCCAGCAAAGTTTGTTTCCTCTGGACCGTCAGGCAGAAATGATTTCAGGGGAAACAAAAGAACTCCACCTCAGCCTTTGTGTCTTATTTTGTCTCTGATCGCTGACATCCAGCTTGTGTAGATGACAGCATTTCTGCACAAAGACACGATGAAAACAGAACAACTGAAAAGCCTCTCTGTCAGAACAACAGCTGCTCACCATGGCAGCTCTTTGGGCTGCTGGCAGCGCGTCAGTCTTTGTGTTTATATGTGAAGTGACAGTAATAATGCTGGAGCAGCAGCAGGTCTGGGCCTTTTTCACAGCACACAGGAAAAATGTGAGGCAAATGGAAATGATGGAAAAAAGTAGATAAACTGATATAGATATAAATGAAGGCAGTTTGATTATTGTGGTAATAATCAGTAGATCATGCTACTTTAGCAGCAATAAGAAACTTTAAATACAGTTAAATGATATTCAGATAATGTTCTCCTACTTTTACTCTGAAACATTTTTAGATTCACACAAACTTGTCCACTCAACACTAGATCAGAGTGTTTCTGCTGGGGTCCGGTCCCGACTCGGTCCAGTTTGACCACTTCATCAGAGCAGTCAGCTGCTCTGGCTGCACACGTTTGAATGTAAACAGCCGGCCCTTTTCCTCCCTCACACAGTCGGACCTACAAGTGGCCGCCACAAATTAGCCTCAGCAGGAGATGCGTCCCCATGACAACGCGGCCGTCCATCCCTCCCTCCCTCCCTCGCCGCGTTAAAAGGGGGAGTGGAGCCGAGGGTTTGAAAGCCTTTGTCTGGCTCCACTCCCCCTCCGTGGCGGATGAATGTGCATGAAGCAGTCAGTGTGTCGGAGGAGCAAACGCGCGGATGAGCCGCAGCGTTGGGAAGTTTCTGTCGGATCTGGAAAGAAAGAAATCCTGCAGGGAAAGGAGAGGCTAAGATGCAAGGTGAGACCTAGATCAGATCTGAAGTGTTTGTGAGTGAACGGGCTTTAAATCTGCAGCTGTGATATTAAAATAGGATGAGTCTGTGTTTATGACACAAAGCAAGCTTCTTACGTTGTCTGAAAGTTGTAATTTGTAGTTTTATCTGGATTATAAAATGTGACCTTCACATGTCTGAAGAGCTCTACAACTTTCAGAATCACCTGTCAGGTGTCACCAAGCTGCAGGAGATTGTCCGAAACTCTAAAAACATCCTGAAGTTTGTGTTTGGAGCTAAAACTGGAATCAAAGCTGTAAAACTGAAAGTGTTTGCATTTTTCTGCACTCTGATGTTCCCCGTTTCCTATCTAGGATAATTGAACTTGAAAGCTTTTAGCTCTGTAGAGATGCATGGTCATTTATAACAGCTGAGATGAAGCCAGTGAGTTTGTCTTTGTGATTATTATCTGGCCTGCAGGGCATGAAATTAATGAGATTGGATGTGGGATGAGCCGGCAGTTCGGTAAATGACAGGTTAATGAAGAGGAAGTGGCGTTCTCTTCTCTTTCTAATGAGATTACACATCTACTTAAAGCAGATTATTTTCCCTACACTATCAATCTGTGATGCTATATTGGGATATAATTACCTAATCGAAGTGTTTCATCTTTCTAAAGTATCGCTTTATACAGTTTTGGATCATTTGTAAAAAAAAATAAAAGACATGTTTTTAATTCAGTCCAATATTAGTGAAAGAAAAATCAAATTCTTTGAATTCTGTCATCATCACATTTGAGTTCAGCCTTCAGGCAAAATTCTGGTTTCACCTGCAGCTGCAGGATCTGGATCTGTTTCATTTCTGGACAACAGAAATGAAACAGAAATGGTTTAGTGATGATTTTCTCTGGCAGGTTAGATGAGATCAAACATCAGATCCTCTGAGGCTCCAACTGGAAAATAGGAAAAATGATCAAATGCAAAAACAAGAACAGAAAAATGATTCAGTGTTTTAGACTGGAAAGAAATAGTCTCCATATATCCTTCCTTCCACTTTTCCATCCATCCATGTTTAACCATCAGCATCCATCCTCATATTCCTATCCGTTGTGTCCATCAGGTTGACATCCAGGTGTTATTGTTAATGATCAATCCCATGTATTGATCATAATATCACCATCTAGTGTTTCTGTCAAACTGAGCTGCTGTGCTGCAGTAAATGCTGCTTCTCTGGTTTTAATCTGCACAGTGCGCCCCCTGCAGGTTTGAGTGTCGCTGCGTTAAGCAGTCCAATCCTTCTTCAAACAGACCCGTCTTTAAGTCCAACAGAGGCGGTTTGGTTTGAGTTTATCTGCACTTAAAGCCCAGCGCCTTTGTTCCTCGTGCTGAGCTGGACTGATAATCCTCTGCGAATCCCTCCATCAGACCTCAGTGTCTCACAATCTGCAGCTTCTGGAATTTCATCGCTCAGTTTGTGGTCAAAGCAGGAATGTAGAAACTTCCCTCATAATTTAAACCTTAACATGGGTAATAAAGTAACTTTTAACATTACTTTGTGATGTGCATCTAGTCTCATTAGAAACTTGAGGGTTACAATAACGTCAAAGCAGACTCTTCTGTTGGTAAACCTTGTTGCTTTATTCACAGCGTATTGAAGACGTTATTAGATTGAACCTGCATTAATTAACCTTTAATTGAACCAGATGGATTTTCAGTTTGGTGATAACTTATTTAAATCTAGTCCCATGAGACAGCGTGAACTTTGTAAGTCTCAGACGGGGATGGAAAATGGCATTTTTTGAAATGTCATGAGATAATTAGATTTTTTTACATGCCAACACTTCAGAGTGAATCCCGTTATCTGATCAGTGGATTATTGGGAGGCTTTGAATCGCTGCTGACCATCAGATACAGGAAACAGCTCTGCAGCTCTCCATGCCGTCCTTTTGGGCTGAGTGATGGACAGCTAACCCTGAGTTCAGCTGCCCCCCCATGTTTGGCATTTCTTGCCCCAGCCCCCCAGGAGCAGACGGCCACGCCCCCGTTTGTTCCTGTGAATGCACCGATCTCTGGAGGAGTCAGGCTGGAGCAGCAGCTATTGTTGGCATCCGTCAGTCAGCAGAGGACCAGAGGCTTCTCTCTGCTGGAGGCGCCTGATCGTTCTGTCGTTACTTATTACTACTTCCTGTTACTTCCTGTTAGTGCAAACTAACTAAATACCCACAAGGGAAGAACTGGTTAACGCCAGATTTTTATTGGAAGGATAGAAAACGAGTTTTAATTTAATCTGAAAAAGGTTCAAGACTGGAAGCATCCATCCATCCATCCATCCATCCATCTCTCAGTCCGCCCGCACATCAACATCCCAGAATATTACTTTTAATGGTCCAGCTGATATTGAGCTATGGTTAGCATAGAAATATCTGCCACAGATTATTATTTTAGAGCAAAAAGAGGTTTTTGGACCTGGATGTGGGACATGGAGTCTTGTTATGACCAGAGAAAGGATCTCTGAACTCCCTGAAGGAGAAGCAGAAACAGGAAACGGCGATGAATGAAAACAGATCCGGGAGTCAGAGGACGTCGTCCTGACCGCCCGCCTTTGTACGGCTGCATCGCTGTCCGTATGCTAATTATGCTAACGAAGCGCTCCCTGCGGCCAGTGGCATTAATGCCTCCATTCAATCAGACAGGGAGGATCTGCTGGTGAGTTGGCCTCCCTTGGAGACGACCCAAATGGGCCATCAGCGGCAATCAGGGGAGACCTGCTGAATAAAGGGGGCATTACCAGTGGGAATGAAAGCTCCCACTTATGTGGAGCTGACCCCACCCACCCCGCTTACGCCCACCGAGGTTACTGGGTGACGAGCGTCTCTTCAGAGAAAGGCTTCCTCTGAATGATGCTCTGTCACTGGTAATGCTATGTGCTGGGGCCGCTGGCTGCTGATTGGTCTGAATGTTCATAAACTTGTTAAAGCTGCAGTTTGTAACTTTTATAAAAATTTTTTTTTTTTACATACTTGTTGAAACTGTCACAGTCATTGCGACAGTTTAGTATGAAACAGATAATCTGTGGAAACATCAAGCTCTTCTGTGTAACTAGAAACAACCAATCAGGGCCAGGAGGCGGGGCTTAGCACTGTCAATCAATGTCACATATTCGCTGCTAAATGTGGTAATGGCAGAGAAACAACTTGCCATTACCCTTATAGCCTGAGCATTCACAATGACTCTGACTGACAATGCCAAGACCAAAGACCATCCCGCAGATTTAATGTTTGTTGTTTTCGTCTCTTTGTTTCCATTCATCACCTCCAGACGTGTTATTATCAGCCTCATAAAACCCCAGGATGCCCAGTGTTTGTGGCTGTGATACTGAATCACAGCAGACCTCCAAAATCAATCCTCACAGCCATGAAAACGACGTCTGACGCTGTGCTGGAAAGGTCAACCAGCAGCAATCATGGATCAGCCTCTGTGGTGCAGAGGAGCGTCTGCATTCACATCCTGTTGGATAAAAACAGACAGATCATAGGTTCCTGTTAACCTCTGGCGGTGGGGCGGGTTAATAATCTGATGCTTCCTCTGTTCAGATGCCTGACCAGTTTGACCAGACGGTGGTTCTGAACCAGCTCAGGTACTCCGGCATGCTGGAAACGGTGAAGATCCGGCGCAGCGGCTTCCCGGTCCGCAGATCCTTCCAGGACTTCTGCTCCAGGTGTGAACCAGGTTTACACAAGTCCAAACACTCAGACACGCAGCGGAAACACTTAAACACACAATCAGTTTCTACTTTTCTCTAATTCAAAACGTGGTGCGGGGGCTCATTTATGGCCCCGTTGATGATTTTGTGCGGCCCCTGAAGTTCTAGTCAGGCAAATGTAACCTGTAAGCTAACGATTGATGCAAATAGACTTAGTTTTTTTTATTATTGTTTTTTTTACATTGACACATTTTACAGACATAAAATCTTCTTAAAAATACAACAAAAGTTTGATTCAACTCAAGTTTCTTATTGAAACTTGAGTTTCAATAAGAAACTCAACTGCTTTTGCATTTGTTGTAATTTTGTAATGTTATGAACTTCGCTTTTCTTCAGGTACAAAGTCCTGATGAGGGGCGTCCTGACTCCAGACGACCACCGGGGGCGCTGCAAGCAGCTGCTGCACCTCTATGACAGCAGCAGTGCAGATTGGCAGCTCGGCAAAACCAAAGTAAGGCCCAAACCTTTTGCTGTTGTCAGTTTCCTTCTCTCTTTGTTCCAAGGAAATGAGCTGAAACTGAAGTCAATCTGAGGGTTTTATTGTAATTTAGAAAAAAAGAATAAAACAGTTGAGTGGATTCAAACAGAGGAATATTTTTACCTGGTTGATTTTTCTTGGGCTTATTAAACACCAACTGAAGCCAGAAAATGTATTTTCTCAAAAAAAAATCTGTGGATTTGCATTTCCTGCCTGTCAGTGGTGAGCTCCATCCCTTCTGCTCAGTCTGCAGAATAATCGACTCTCTGCTGTCAAGCGCTGAGTTCCTGAATGCTCCACTCTTTTTGCCTCCAGCTAATACCGGTAGAAAGGTCTTCCGTCGCCAACACGGCGCCTGATTGGACAGAGACTCAGGCCGCCTCCGGAGAGATGCCAATCCAGTCTGGCTTTTCTCCCTCCAGGCTCAATTTGGCTTCATGTGTCCTACAAATTCAGCTCCATGGAGCCATTCAGAGCCGCTGCCTCTATGGGCGTGTGTGTGTGTGTGTGTGTGTGTGTGTGTGTGTGTGTGTGTGTGTGTGTGTGTGTGTGTGTGTGTGTGTGTGTGTGTGTGTGTGTGTGTGGGTGTGTGAGTAACCGAGGTCAGCATCACCTGAAGCGTGGGACGCCACAGTTATTGGATCCACTCTTCAGTCACTCTACTTCCACCACACCGGATCAGGAAGGATGGCGACTGCCAGAGTGTGTGTGTGTGTGTGTGTGTGTGTGTGTGTGTGTGTGTGTGTGTGTGTGATTGCGGTGGGAAAGTGACAGATGGGGACACAGACCACTGACCACAGCAGGACCGTGTGACGCTGCAGGAGGGAGAAACCTGTGTGTGTCGATGTTGGCTTGGAACGCAAGGAAGAGATAAAACATGAAAAAATACGGAATTTGATTTAGATATTATAAAAGTCTGAAAAGCTTTTCTTCCTTCCATGCATCAGAATTTTCATCCACATTTCCTTCCTAACATCCTTCCACTTTTCCTTCTGCTCTTCCTTCCAGACTTACTCTCACACCTACAACATATTCTCCAAATTTTAAGTTTGGAGAAATCTGGAACAGAAAAGCCCTGTAAGAATCTGCATGACTAATATTCCAGTGTAATATTAACTTCAACAGTCACTGATAAAAGCTAAGTAGAGGTTTTACTCTTTTTCTGTTCAGCGTTCCTGCAGTAGAAACTCTGAGTTTCCAGCAGTTTGGTGGAACCGGTTTAGGACCAGAAACATTCATCAGTCTGTCCACTGGGGGCGCTGTGCTGTTCACTAGATACTTAACAAAGCTGTGGCGATCTGAGCCATCATGGTGCCAAACGTACAAACATATTCAACTTCTCTCTTTTTGCAGTTTGAATGTTTCCAGTGTGAAACCTGATCACCAGATCTTATCTGTGACGTCGCCTGACTGTTTCCTGCCTGCGCCGCCGTTAAATCCTGCTGCGTCCCTCTGAGGGATTCGTCCACTTTGTCCCTCAGACAGATTTACAGCCTGCAGCTCCTTTCAGTCGGCGCTGTTGCCTCTGAGCTCTGCTTTGTGCTTTTAGAGCCTGAAACTTAATTTTGTGGACAGGAAGCGGCGCCGCGTGGCTCCGTTCCCTCTGAGGACCCGACCCGACCCGGAGCAGCAAGAATTAAATGCAGCGAGGCTTAGTCGAGCCTTTTGTTGTGCTAATTAACAGTGTAACGATTAAAGAGGATTTGTTGTGCGACTCATCAGGATGCAAATGTGTGCACTTGTTCAGGGAGGCTGTGTGTTTTCATGCTGACCCGTGTTGTGTCAGGTCGGGTCTGATGCTTCCTGCTGGATTCTTTTGTTCTGCCTGACGTCCCTCCTGACATTCAGCTCCACAGACAAAAGCTGCTGCTGTCTCTGTTGTCCTGTGATTGGCTGAGGTTCAGTTCAAAAAGCAGGTTTTCACTCTGCTCTGACATTAACCGTGTTTCCATCAACGTTTTTTATTCATGAGCATTTTAAAGTAGAAACAGTTGTGGAAACAGAAAATTTACTGGAATAACAAAAATAAACCTGCTTAATGGAAATGCATCAATTTTGAATAAACTCACAATTTCTGATAAAAATAAAACTTTCCTCTAGGAGGAAGTGGTTGAAATGGTTGTATTTTGCAAAAAACAGTGATGGAAATACATGTTTTGCATAACAAGTAGTTTTTTCAACTTTTGCAGAATATCAACAAAGTTTTAATGGAAAAGCATCTAAAAATGTCCTCTTTTTAACAAAAAAGGTCTGTTTTGACTTGTCCAAAAGAAACTTAATGCACTAAAAAGGGAGATGGAAACACAATTATTGAATAAGTTTTGATGACTTTCTCTCCATCTAGGAGGGTAAATCTGTTTTCCTGAGATGATTTGCTCCTTCACACTCGTTTCCAACCTCTACTTCCTGTTTATGACAGCCAAACGCAGCATCAATATGAAATCATGCCCCCCGTGTCCCAGTTGATTGACTTCTATCTTGTGTTTTTATTGCATTTTAAAAGTTTGCTCAAAATTTGCATCAGTTGGATCACGTCTCCTCTGGTTTCCTCGTGTTCATGCAGCTAATGCAGGAGTTAATTAACCTGCATGCAAAGCGAGGTTACGTCTCCTCATAAAATCTCTTTAGTGCCTCAGTGCTCAGGATTCAGCAATGTCTCACACACACGCACACACCCACACACACGCATACACACACACACGCACACACACACTCACACACACACACACACACACACACACACACACACACACACACACACTGAGCTCCTCATTCAACAGGAGAAATCTGTTCCTGAACCTCCCAGTCCTGTGATATTTCCCTGCCGTATCGGCCGCCAGAGCTCATGTCCCGTATCTCATTTTCCTCCTCCCTAATCGGATTAACCCGGCCGGCCCAGTGGGCCCGGTTCCTCTATCGGCGGGCGACGGCTTGGCTTATAAAACGGCCAGCTGCTCGATAGATTCAGCCTTTTCACACGGAGCCGAGGCAGGAACGCCTCGCCGCTGTAATCTTACGAGGTTTGATTAACGCCGAACGTTTGTTCAGATCTTGAGTTTCTTAATTCTGCTGGATTTTAAATCTTTTATTCAGGGTGAGTCGCAGCTAGTGGATGTCTGCACTGGGTTAAAACAGAAATAAAGAAATAAGACATAAAAAGCGAAACTGTAAATAAAATCAATCATGTCTCTGTAAAAAAAATTGCTTTTCTAAAATGATTAATCAGCAGAATGGAAATTATCAAGCAAATTTAAATTTATTATGTGATTGATCATTTTTTATTTTGACAGTCTTTGGTATATGTATGAATAATTATTAACCTGCCTGGATTTCAGGTCAAATGGACATAAACATATAATCCCAACTGAATGTTTGTGTTTATTGAGATGTTTGTATAAATGAGGCTGTTTTTCCTTCATAGTTTTTAAGAAGTTCTTGGATCATTTGGATAATTATTGTACATTTTTTGCCATTAAATGTGAAGATGAAGAGAGTAAAACTGTGTCTTTCTGTCTTCTCAGGTTTTCCTTCGAGAGTCTCTGGAGCAGCGGCTGGAGAAGCAGAGGGAGGTGGAGGTTCTGAAAGCAGCCATGATCATCCAGGCCCACATCCTGGGCTACATGGCCCGGTACGCTCGCTGCACGTTTACTCATAAACTCGAGGTTTCTATCCACATTAAATGATCGTTTTATGCGGCTTCGCCTCCAGGAAGCAGTACAGGAGGCTGCTGCAGTGCATTGTGGTCATTCAGAAGAACTACCGGGCTTTCTACTGGAGGAGGAAGTTCCTGCTGCTCCGCTGGGCCGCGCTCACCTTCCAGAAGCGCCTGCGGGGCCAGCTGGCCCGCCGGGCCGTCGGCCGCCTGCTGGACGAGAGGAGGAAGAGGGAGGAGGAGGAGGAGCGCCGCAGAAAGATGGAGGAAGAGATGGAGAGGTGACATTCGTCCTCGTTGGTCCTCCAACCCGCCTGCTGATAGCCGCTGACGTTTGGCTGTTTCTGTTTGTGCAGAGAGAGACTGAGACTGGAGGCGGAGCGACGCGCCAAAGAGGTGCCAGAAATATCATCATACTTTGATTTCAAAGAATAAATATGGGAGCAGCAAAGACACTGGTGGTGTTTAGTCAAGTTAAATGCAGTCTATTTAATTATTGACAATTATAATCATCAACATATCCACAAAATGAGCTTCGTGCGTCAGATGTATCGGCGTACGAGAAACACATGAATACAAAGGTTCCGGTTATGAAAAAAATACTAATAATTTACTAAAACATTCACCCCATTAAAATCTATGTAGTTATTTAATGAAAAAGAAATGTGTAAAAGTCCCAGACCTAAAAGATGCAAAAGCAAAAACATTTCTTAGAGGAGTTGAAATATTTTTAGTATTTCAACTCCTTTTAGTATTTCAGGGGTGTTTTGAATAATTATTTTAAAATCTTTTATAGGAAACTTTTAAAATCATCACTTCTACTGTTTCCAAATTGTCCTCAGAGAGTTTAAGAAGCTGTCAAAGATGAAATGTTACAGAAACCATCTCAGTTCCATGGTGCAGAATGTGTTTCCATCTGAGAGTTTCATGGTTTTCCTCTGTTTCTAGGCTGAGGAGGCTCTGCGGCTGGCGGAACTGCAGCGCGCCGAGGAGCTGGCCTCTCTGGTTTTTACTCAGTCTCAGCTGGAGGAAGCAGCTGCAGCTCTACCTGAAACTCCAGAGGAGCTGCAGTCGGTCTTGCAGGAGGCCGCCGAGGAGGAGGAGGCCATCCGCCCCCAGGAGGCGTCCCAGGTGGAGGAGATCCTCCGGCTGGAGCGAGAGATCCAGGCGCTGCAGAGGCAGAAGGAGCAGCAGGAGCTGTCCCTGACGGAGGCGTCGCTCCACCGCCTGCAGCGCCTCCGGGATCAGGAGCTGCAGCGGCTGGAGGACGAGGCCTGCAAGGCGGCGCAGCAGTTCCTGGACTCGCTCAACTTCGACGAGATCGATGAGTGTGTGAGGAACATTGAGAGCTCGCTGGGCGTCGGGGAGGAAGAGGAGAAAGAGAATGGAGGGAGCAGAGGCGCCGACGAAGAGGAGGTCGATGAAGGGTTCGGAGCCGACGACGAGGCTTTCAAAGACTCTCCCAACCCAAGCGAGCACGGCCACTCCGACGGCCAGCGGACCAGTGGGATCCGGACGAGCGACGATTCCTCTGAAGAAGACCCGTACGCCAACGATGTTCCGATCCCCGCGATGCCCCTCACCACCCTGCTCCACCAGCCGCTGCCTCCGTTACCGCCGGCCGCCCACAGCGTCTCGTCCAGCGGCGACTCCGCTTTCTGCCACCCGCAGGCGTCGTCAGAGGCGCCGTCCGACGACCTGGTGGAGCTGATTCCTCCAGACGAGGACTCGGACTACGACCAGGACGACTATGACGAGGGCGCCATCGTGTCCAGTGGCAGCGTGGCGTTCTCCAACCCGCGCAGCGGGCAGTGGTCTCCGGATTACCGGGGCTCCGTGGGAACGTACAACAGCTCAGGGGCTTACCGCTTCAGCTCCGAAGGCGCTCAGTCATCGGTGAGTCTCCTGAATGGTCAGACTGACAGACGTTTGTCAAAACCCCACATCATCAGCCCTCCACCACCATGCATAGCAGCTGGTCACAGTTGTGAAACGTACAATGATTAAACATCTTTCCAAATCAGACCACATTGTTCTGGATGTCTTGTGCTTCATTCAAGTGCAGCTTTATGAACCTAACGTTTGCCCCTGAGCAAGGCACTTAACTTCAACCGGGTTAAAACTCTCATTCAAATTCCATGGAGCTTCAGTAGAAACTGCTGAATCATTTGCTTTGACTTTCATTGCAGTTTGAGGACAGTGAAGACGACTTTGACCGGTTTGACACAGACGATGAGTTGTCGTATCGCCGGGACTCGGTCTACAGCTGCGTCACTCTGCCGTACTTCCACAGCTTCCTCTTCATCAAAGGTAGCTCCTTCAATTCACTCTGAACCCTTTGGGAGCCGTTCTCCTCGCTGTAGCAGGAACTGCAGTGCTGCCGTCTCGTCTTCAGGAGGCCTGATGAACACGTGGAAGCGGCGCTGGTGCGTTCTGAAGGACGAGACCTTCCTGTGGTTCCGGGCCAAGCAGGAAGCTCTGAAGCAGGGCTGGCTGCACAAGAAGGGAGGCGGCTCCTCCACGCTGTCCCGCCGCAACTGGAAGCGTCGCTGGTTCGTGCTGCGCCAGAGCCGGCTCATGTACTTTGAGAACGACAGCGAGGAGAAGATGAAGGGAGTGCTAGACATGCACAATGCCAAGTAAGGTCAAAGGGCAATTTCAGTAAACATGATCAAATCCTGGTTATGCTTCTAAAAATTGTTTTTAATTTCTGCAGAGAAATCGTTGATAACACGGGGAAGGAGAACGGCATCGACATCGTGATGCCAGAGAGGACATACCACCTGATCGCAGAGTCTGCTGAGGACGCCAGGTGTGTCTTCACACACTGAATCAGTCCACTGTGGAAAAATCCATCCACTCAGTTTTTCAGGCATATCATTTGAATGACTCAGTTAAAACAAGTGTCCCACATCTCCACCCCTCCACTGCCGTGCTCTGCAGTTGGAATCAGGTGTTTTTGCTAATATGCTGCAAACATGGCCTCTGTAGCTGGAAGAGTTGTTGGTGCTGTGACCTATTGATGATTGTGTTTCCATGCTTACAGTCAGTGGTTCAGCGTGCTGAGTCAGGTCCACGGCTCCACAGAACAGGAGATCAGCGAGATGCACGACGAGCAGGCCAATCCGCAGAACGCTGTGGTGAGTCGGGCAGAATATCTGCCTCCTCCGGGAGGAAAAACAAATAATCAACGCCTCACCTGTCTTTCTTCAGGGAACGCTGGATGTGGGCATGATCGACTCGGTTTGTGCTTCAGATAATCCAGAAAGGTGTGGCATCGACTTGTTTGTATTATTCCCAGATCTGGCTGTTGTCTGACTCTAAGCTTCTGCTGTTAAAATTAGACCAAACTCCTTTGTCATCATCACTGCGGAGCGAGTTCTGCACTGCAACGCCGACACGCCCGAGGAGATGCACCACTGGATCACTCTGCTGCAGCGCTCCAAGGGAGACGCGCGCGTCGACGGGCAGGAGTTCATCATCAGAGGTACGGGACGGAGATGAGCAGCACAGTCTGCTACTGGAGCAGAACCTGTTCATTAAGGTCTGGAGATTCTAAGTGGATTTATACGGTTAATATTTTAAGACTTTATTCTCTAACCTTTAGCCTGATGCTGGTTTTTAAAGTTTACTGTTGTTATATCCCCAAAGTAACACAAGCAGAAAGTTCACATAACACATGAAAATAAGCAGAAATCAATCAAACCGAATTTAGTCAGTAAAATGATATTTGAGCTCAATGTCTGTGAGCAAAACTAACTGAAGGGTTAAAAAGCTGCTGCAGTACGGAGCTAAATCCAGACCAAAGTTTGTTCAAAAAAATCATTTAAACTGAAAAGAAATATTTCAAACTGAAGACAATTTTAACAGAAAATAAAGATTTGAAACTGATAGAAAAATATCTAAAACTGAAAAAATGTTTTGCAAGAGAAAATAAAGGTGTGAAAAGTGAAGCAGGTAAACAGTGAAGGAGATGAAATGCTGTTTTTCCTCCAGGCTGGTTGCACAAAGAGATGAAGAACAGCACCAAGGCCTCGCTGAAGCTGAAGAAGCGCTGGTTCCTGCTCACCCACAATTCCCTGGACTACTATAAGAGCTCTGAGCGGAACGCCTTGAAACTGGGAACGCTGGTTCTGAACAGCCTCTGCTCCGTGGTGCAGCCCGATGAGAAGCTCTACAAGGAGACCGGTGGGTTAAAGCGTCTCACTGACGGGTTTATGTCCCGGTTCCCGTTGTTTTAACACGACTCTCATGAACCGGCTGCTGCGCGGCAGGATACTGGAACGTGATCGTCTACGGGCGGAAACACTCGTACCGGCTCTACTGTAAGCTGCTGAACGAAGCCACGCGTTGGGCCAGCTCCATCCAGAACGTCATCGACACCAAAGCTCCCATCGACACGCCGACCCAGCAGCTCATCCAGGACATCAGGGTAGGAGAAAAACCCCTCCATGTCTGGGGTTAACAAGGTTTAACAGCCTCACCGTCACGTCAGGGAACATCGACTGTCAGGATGTTTCCCTGCTCTCACTTTTATTCACTATTCAGTAATTATTACATTCATCTGTCATAAATGCTGCCTCATACCTTCTGTTTTAATCGCCATCAGCTCTTAGGTTTTTCCTTCTGTCTGTTTCATGACAGAAACTTTTGCATTTTACACTTTGCTTTTGTTTTTTTTGTTTTTTCTTCCCTGTAGATTTGCACTTTGCTCTGTGTGACTGAAGCTGGGTTTAATGAATGAATGAATATTCTTTATTAATCCCAGAGACAAATTCATGTGTGGTTAAAGAAACATTTTAAAACAGCTGGCAGCATTCAGCTTCCCTTAAATGTACTTTCCTAAAGCGATAATTTGCTTGGCTCTTAGTAAATTTTCCGCTTTTTGTAAAAGTTTGACATTTGAGTCGAAGTTTTGTTAAAAGTACTTTCAAGTCGTGAGCCGTTTACATTAACGCTCTTATTTTGACTGTTACAGCAGCATTTCCGTTTCCTTTGAAACATTCAGAAACAAAACAAAGTAGAGACCAAATAAACATAAATAAAATATTTTGAAGCAATACGCAGTTGTAGCACCTGATGGATAGCCACATGTTTTAAGTTAGCGCTTTAGCATTAGCTGAACTAATTATGATTTGTGCTTTGGGGTTAGCGTAGCTAACGTTTCAGTTAGCGAGGCAGAGTAAAGGTTCTGACCAGAGCTGCAGGTAAAGTCCAGCTGTGGTTCTGTCTGCAGGAGAACTGTCTGAACTCAGAGGTGGTGGAGCAGATCTACAAGAGGAACCCCATCCTGCGCTACAGCCACCACCCGCTGCATTCCGCTGCTGCCGCTGCCGTACGGAGACATCCAGCTGAGCGGTGAGACACAACCCGGCCGTCAGAGCGGCAACGGTTTTAGATCCGATAAGAAAAAACAACTTGATCTACCTGCTTCACTGGAGAGTGAATTTCATCTTCCTGTTCCTCCGTCACCCAGCGTCACAGAGTCGGAGCTACACCACCCTGCAGGCCGAAGCCCTCCGGGTGTTCGGCTCCCTGCAGCACCTGGACGGCGTGGCCGACCCGGTCGCCATCATCCAGGGCATCCTGCAGACGGGCCAGGAGCTCAAGCCGCTGCGCGACGAGCTCTACTGCCAGCTGATCAAGCAGACGGCCCGGCCGCCGCAGCCCGGCGGCACGGCCAACCTCTGCAGCTGGAAGATCCTGGCCTGCATGTGCTGCACCTTCATCCCCTCACGGAGCATCCTCAGATACCTGAAGTTCCACCTGAAGAGGTGAGCACAGCAACGCCTTATGATTTCACAAATTCCACTTTTTCAATTTTAACATATTTATTAACATTTATGGTGGAAATCAGAAAACTTTAAGAAATCTATGACTAGCGGCTGATACTATCACTATTAAACAGACTGCTGTGTTTTAACAGACTTTTGGTTTTACCAGGTGTTAATGTCTTTCCCTTCATTTGGAAAATTAAATATCTCATTTTTAAGATGTAAGAAAATTATTTTTTAAATAAAAGCTCAACACCAAAGTATTGATCCTACAGAAAAGAGACGGTGAGCTGTGATGTCATAATTCCACACCTCGTCATCTGAGGCCCCGCCCCCACAAAAAACCTTTGATATGAAAATTTGTTTTAACAATTTTTCAGTTTCAATTTTTCTTTTCTTTTGAACAAACCTTATGGTCCTGATTTTACAATTTAGGAGACAGGCTGAGCCTACTGATTTGTGACGATGCAGTTCAGCCAGAAATGTCTCATTTTCAGACACCAAAACGAAAAAAGCCGGATGGAAACATCCAGTTTATCTCGGGCTGTTTATGGAAGCCTTATTTGAGTTTTTCTACTCAAGTAGAAAAACATTCAAAATGTTTGACAAGTCTCTTAAATTCTGCATTGTCAGGGTTTGTTTTGTTAGTTTACATCTGACCTGTAACCTGGATGTGACCTCTCTGCAGGACCAGAGAGCTCTTCCCCGCCTCAGAGATGGACCGCTACGCCGCCTTCGCCTTCGACTCCCTGAAGAAGACTCGGGCCAGGGAGAACGTGCCGTCGCAGGAGGAAATCCGCTCCATCGTGGCCCGGCAGGAGATGAGCACCACAGTGCACTGCCATGGCGGAGGCTCCTGCAAGATCACCATCAACTCACACACCACTGCAGGGGAGGTGGGTTCCTCCCCGCACAGCAACATCCAAAACCCACTCACCATCACAAATCCACTGAGATCTCAGTTTGGTCATAGAGTTTTGTTCTGATTGGTTCAGTTTTCATTTGAAAAGAAGAAAGTTTTAGTTCCTAGTAATTGGTCAGGAAAGGCTGTCAGGATTCAACTTCGGATGTTTTTCCTCCTGATGGTCCAGGAAACTCGGATCAATTAGGGACCAGAATTGATACATTTGTTCCATCTGTGGTTCACTTTATCTGCTCTGAGTCAAACCAACCTGTTCCCCTCCTGGCCTGTGGGGCGCTGCACCAAGAACCACAGAAGGAAACGACACAAACCTCTGAAGAGCAACTTCCTTCTTCACCAAATGGAAACTAATTTGGAGGATTTCTCTTTTGTCTGTGGTTATAAACCATAAGTTCCAGAAGTTAATCAGAAAAGTGTTCTTATTTTGATGTTCATCCCATCCTGTCTGTCTGTCCGTCTGTCAGGTGGTGGAGAAGTTGATCCGCGGTCTGGCCATGGAGGACAGCAGGAACATGTTCGCTCTGTTCGAACACAACGACGCCTCAGAGAAAGCCATCGAGAGCCGGACCGTGGTGGCCGACGTTCTCGCCAAGTTTGAAAAGTAAGACCCTCTGTGTGAGTTTCAGTCTGACCCAAAAGTTTTCCACTTCTGTGGGTCCAGTTAATATTCTTAATCGTTGCTCCGCAGACTTTCAGCGAGCGCAGAAGAAAGCAACACGGGCTGGAAGCTGTACTTCAAACTGTACTGCTTCCTGGACACGGACGGCGTTCCCAAGGACAGCGTGGAGTTTGCCTTCATGTTCGAACAGGTGAAAACCTCCGACCCGGATCAGGAAGGTCCATTTGCTGTAACACATCTGCCATGTTTCACAAAAACTGCCAGTCAAACGAATCACCGGTTTTGATTCTGATTGGATGTAGCGATGATTGAAGTGAGTCATCTGGTTTCAGGCCCATGAGGCGGTCATCCAGGGCCACTATCCGGCCCCGGAGGAGACGCTCCAGTTCCTGGCCGCCCTCAGGCTCCAGTACCTGCTGGGCGACCAGAACCCCCAGACCACCGTGCCCGAGATGAGCCAGGTGTTCCCCATGGCCCGACTGCGGACCCGGGTCCAGAACTCGGCCAAGACGTTTTCCGGCTCCGGCTCTGTGGCGGAGCGCTCCGGGACGGCGGAGCGGAAACGCTCCAGCTTCCTGGAGGGAACGCTGCGGCGGAGCTTCAGGAGCGGCTCGCTGAGCCGGCAGAGGCTGGAGGAGGAGAACAGCCTGGAGGCCTGGCTGAGGGAGGAGGCGGCCGCCGTCCGGACCAGCGTCCTGGACAAGTGGAGGAAGCTGCAGGGCATGAGCCAGGAGCAGGCCATGGTCAAGTACATGGTGCTGGTGAAGGAGTGGCAGGGCTACGGATCCACGCTCTTCAACGTGGAGGTGAGTTAAAGCCGAGCTAAAGATGAGCTAACGCCGAGCTAAAGATGAGCTAAAGCCGAGCTAAAGATGAGCTAACGCCGAGCTAAAGATGAGCTAACGCCGAGCTAAAGATGAGCTAAAGATGAGCTAACGCCGAGCTAAAGATGAGCTAACGCCGAGCTAAAGATGAGCTAACGCCGAGCTAAAGATGAGCTAAAGCCGAGCTAAAGATGAGCTAAAGCCGAGCTAAAGATGAGCTAACGCCAAGCTAAAGATGACCTAAAGCCAAGCTAAAAATGAGCTAACGCCGAGCTAAAGATGAGCTAAAGCCGAGCTAACACAGAGCTAAAGATGAGCTAACGCCGAGCTAAAGATGAGCTAAAGCCGAGCTAAAGATGAGCTAAAGCCGAGCTAAAGATGACCTAAAGCCGAGCTAAAAATGAGCTAACGCCGAGCTAAAGATGAGCTAAAGCCGAGCTAACACAGAGCTAAAGATGAGCTAAAGCCGAGCTGAAGATGAGCGAAAGATGAGCTAAAGCCGAGCTGAAGATGAGCTAAAGCCGAGCTGAAGTTGCTGGTCCAAACGCTTCTCACACAAAATCAACACGTTGAAATTATCTTTTTCTCTCCATTAAAAATGCAAAAACAATATGACTGGAAATTTTTTCCTCAAACCAACATTAGTTTGAAATTTGCCTTAATGTTGACCTTTATTTCACTTCTCAGGCCAGTCGTCCTCGTCTTGTTGGTCTCTGAGCTGTTGTGGGTTTTCTTTTAAAAACTGTCATTGGATATTTTGACTTCATGCTCTGATCTTCTGAGGAAAGAAAAATTCTTTCTGTTGAACATTTCAGATTTAAACTGGCCTGGAAATCTCACATTAAAATAATTTTTAAAAGTGTCTCATCTGCAGCGCAGAGACAAATCACTCCAAGGGCCACAAATGGCCCCCGGGCCGCACTTTGGACACCACTGCTCTAGTCTGAGCTTTTTGTTGACACGGCAGAAACAATAGAATAGAAAAAACTTTATTGATCCCAGAGAGGAAAATTGCTGAGTTGTTGAACAGATAATCCATCCAAAGTGTTAAATACTGAAAATATAAACATAAGCAACTTATTATATAATTTTTATCTTAAGCAGTTTCTAGGTAATTTAAATATGATTTGCATCTTCAATGAATAAAACAATAAAAAGCATATAAAGCATAATCTGTAAATAAATCTATAAATAAGTCCAGAGTAAAATTAAACTTAAAAAAGCAGAAACGTTCTTTATTAATAATTTACCTTAACAAAGTAACTGTAACGGTCTCGCTATGGTGTCCTGAACCAAGCTCAGCCAAACTCCTTTCACACAAGTCAGGATTAAACGGCTCTTCCTTTATTAACGTAGAATGGAGTGAAACTGCCACAACAGGAACCACATAAATTCAATGAATACCTTGCTTTGTTACACACACATTAACATAAACGCTCATTTTTAAATATACATACAGGCATTGCGTCGAAGAACTCGATCTGAACACGACATTCACAATGTATCCATCCGCTCTGCCGTTAACAAACTGACTAAGTGACGTAAACGTAAAACATTTCCCTGGAAGTCCAGCAGGTGGCAGCAATGTGCCATGCAAAATTAACACTCACAGATTACATGACAGTAACAATACTACTGATAATGAAAAAAATATAATATTAGTAAAGATAAATTAACTCTGTCATCTTAGTTTTAGTTCATTTTTCTGTTAGTTTAACTCTGAGCTTCATTCATAAAGTGATTATTATAAAGATGAAATCATCAGTAGTGGAGATGGATCACACCGTCCTGCCAGAGCAGCTGTGACCCCGTGTGACCTCTGTGCTTCCAGAGCCGTGACGGAGCGTTCCCGGCGGAGCTGTGGCTCGGCGTGAGCCGGGAGTCCATCTCCGTGTACAAACGCGGCGAGCTGTGGCCCCTGGAGGTCTTCCCCTACGAACTCATCCTGTCCTTCGGCGCGCCGCTGCCCAACGCCTACAAGATCGCCGTGGAGGGCCGGGAGCTGCTGTTCGAGACCCAGATGGTCGGTGCCGATGAACTCCACCTGCCGCCTCCTGCCCAAAGCTTTCTGTGGCTCACGGCTCTCTGTCGCCCCCTGCAGGTCATGGACATCGCCAAGCTCATGAAGGCGTACATCAGCATGATCGTGAAGAAGCGCTACAGCAACAGTCAGTCAGTCGGCAGCCATGAGAGCAAATGCAGCGCCTGGTGAAGCCGGACGGAGCCTCAGGGGCCCACAGGGCCGGAACCGAACCCACAACAGAACCCGAGTCAAGACGGCCCTGCAGGCCAGAACCGAACCCACAACAGAACCCGAGTCAAGACGGCCCCGCTCCTTCCTCAGATTATATGAAATAGGTGTCAAATGTTTGTGCTGCAATTTTTTTTTGTGCCGTTATGATTTTTAAGAAAAAAATAGTTTCCAGAGATAAAGTTTCCGTCTTTATCCCAAAAACTAAACAAAATGGATGGAAGTTAATTGTGCTGCATTTGTGCAGGAATGTTTTTGTTTTTGCCATTTTAATTTGTAAGATTTAAAAAAAAAAAAGTTTCCAGATGTCAACAGAAATCAGCTTTCTGACCTCTGACCCCACGCATGAACAAAACGGATAGAAATTAATCGTGCAGAAAAAAATTTTGTTTCAACTTTTAAGATGATTTTTTTTAGGTTTTCAGAGGTCACCAGAGGTCAACCTGCCCTTTAACAAAATCAAACAAATTGCTATAAATTAATTGATGCTTCATTTGTGCTGAATTTTGCATCAAAATGTTTGTTTGCACTGTAATAGTTTTTCAGACTTTGAAGAGTTTCCAGAGGTCACCAGAGGTCACCAGACATCGTTTAATTATTGCTGCAGAAACGTTTGACACCAGTTTCATTTCATTCAGAGGAGGCGGGTCCTGGTCCGGTCCGGTCCGGGTCCACTCTGGTACCGACCGGCCTGCAGGGCTCTGAAAGTTTCTCCACTGGGTCCAAGTCGGGCTGCGAGTCTCCATGGAAACCTGAGCTCAGACCAAAGCATCACAAAAACAGAGTTTTTCTACCTGGAAGTGCTTTTATCAACAATCAGTCTGGAGTAAAATTCATCAGAAAAACTGAACGTTTTCCCTCCGGACCGCCTGAAATGATGCTTTTCTTGAAGCGGATCGTGGTTCGGTCCGATTCCAGCGACATTCCCACGCAGAGAAGGAGGAGGAGGAGGAGGAGGAGGAGGTAGAGGAGGAGGAGGAGGAAGAGGAGGGGGAGGAAGAGGAGGGGGAGGAAGAGGAGGAGGAGGAAGAGGAGAAGGAGGAGGAAGAGGAGGAGGAGGAAGAGGAGGAGGAAGACTCTCTGAGAGAAACTAAATATTATCCAAAAGAAAAAAGGATGAAACCAAAGAAACCAGTTCTCACTTGAGTGTCTGCTGACTTTTAGCCGCTCTTCAAAATGGGAAAGACAAGAAGACAGGGCAGGAGACGTTACCGTGACGACGCGTCTGGCTGTGAAGCTGTCGTCTTTAGAGAAGAGACTGAATGTATTTTCCTTCCCGGCCCAAACAAACAACCAGCCCTCAATCAGACAATGAAGAAATCACAAGTGCCTGTTTCCATCCGGATCAACTCCGATCGGGTCCGAGGTTCTGCTGAGAATAAAAACGGTGCTCCGATGTTTCTGAACCGGTGTTTCTGAACCGGTCCTGCTGCACCAGCCGCTCCGGCCCAGAAACAGCAGAACAATCAGGTCCCAAATATGAAAGCTTCCTGATGAGCTGAGGCAATCTGCTGTTTGACCACAGAAAATCAAAAAGTTACATTTTTAGGACTTTTGAGATTTCTGAAAGGTTCTGAAATCAGTGGTAAAACTCGTGAACATTGTGGTTTTAAAGTGACAGTGATGTAACTGTTGCAGTTCTTGCTTCAGCTCGACCGAGCCGCTCCACCGGACCCGGTTCGGCAGCAACATTCCCACGTTTCCCTGGAGCTCCGCGGGCGGCAGATCCACCCACAGACCTGCAGGTTCTGCCACTGTCCAGTGCCTTTTGTAAATGCTGTACACTTCCTGTTTCACATGCAGATTGGTTTTTGGTAGAATGTGTAATGTAATATATATATTATATGTGATATAATCATGTGGACTGTACATTTCAGGTTTTTGCCTTCTGATTTATTATCCAGCTTTTTTCTTGTATCTTTTTTGTATCTTTTTAAATCTGAATTATCATCATGTTAGAATATGAATTAGAATTATGTTTTGATTTACAATAAATAAATAAAAATATTTAGTCAAATGTTTTATTACAATCTGAAAAACAGACATTTTTTAAACTTTCAGTTAGTTTTACAGTTTTGCTGATCCATTGAAAAGCTTTCAGAATCAGCTTTTCTATCACTTTAAATCCAGGTTCAAACTCTTGGCCAGGAAAAGTGAAGCAGCTTCATCAAACTTTTGAACATCAACAACAACCAGCAGAGTCTGCAGCTTCGTTTCGATCGGACCTTCATGTTTTCCATCTCAGACGGTTTGAAGAAAGTAAGTCACGTTTCTGTGTACAAACATTCTTTATACTTTACATCCAGGTTACATACAAAGGAAACAAATACAGTCACATTCAAGTCGTATCTGTGCTGCACAATGAGACGTTAATATTCAGCCTCTTAAGGCACCAAAAGAACCAAAACGACCCAGCGACCCCAAACGTCTCATTTATCCCAACGCGTTCATGTCAAATGCATCCCAGCCAACGCAGGGAAACGGACATAAATGAAATTCAACTCCATTCTGACGTCAGTTTGTGCTTTTAGCTTCTGGATCTCAGTTTTCTATAATCAGTTTGGCATTTTCTGCAGATCCGGTTGGATCCAGTTCCGTCTGCAGGTGTCGTCCAGCCTGTGTCCAGAGGCCACCTGCTGTGTGGCTCCCAGCGTTGGGCGGGAATGAGATTTACTTTTGCTTCCCGCATATTTCGTCTGAGATTTACGAAAAACAGCTAAACTGAAAAAGCGTCTAAGATCTGGTGGTTCTCTGCCTCCACACGGAAACGACGAAGATGGATTCAGATTTTGTTTTGGGTGTTCAGATGGATGATGACAGATTCAGTCTTTAGATTTTCTCTGTCAGGACATAATAAAACGAATCGATTCTTCATCAGGCTGTAAAATGATATAATCCTCTAGCACACAGATTAACTCACAGATTAAATGGGAGTTTTATCATCTTTAATCTCTGGATCTCACAGGCTGAGTGTTACGAATTATGAGGTTGTTTCCTAAATGTTCCACCAGAATACAGAGGGGAAGATTAATATTAATAAATCATTTAAGGAAGCTGCTAATCATCCCAGAGACAGAATATTCACAGAAAGGTCGGCGTCGATGCAGTGGCCTAGTCAAAGACCAAACACCAAATTGTGCCTTTACAAAGCAGAGCAGAAGAAACATTTTTATTACATCCTGACAGGTGAAACCCAAGAACCAAAACAGGAAGTTGTTTCCTCAGAGAAGAAGAAATTAGTTTGTGACGTCATTCTGCGTCAGAGAGTTTGAAACAGCCAACAAATTCCCGACAAAACGACTTGGCACGAAACTTTATAACCTTTTTATGGGTTTTCCTTTAAATCCTAAAGAGCCAGCTCTGGTTCCGGTCCTCAAAGAAACCGAAACCAGAGAACCCGGATGTAACGCAACAGTTCGGTCTTTATGCTACGATGTTCAAGATGGATGTCAGGATTACGTCACAGTGCCAACCGAACACGTCCATTTTTATCTGGCTGAGCTTGGCTTGGGGACCGGCCCCGACAACCCGGAAATACCGGCAGCACCGGAAATACCGGGAACACCGGAAATACCGTCAATACCGGGAAAGCAGCAACCAATAAATGCAGGAACGTTCAGACTAAAGCTTCACCTGCCAAGGCCCAGGCTGACGTCACGCGGATGAACGGTCAGGTAAAGTTTCACCTGTCGAGGCTCAGACCGACGTCACGCGGATGACCACCTCCCCGAGTCCGCGTCCTGGCTCCGGCTGTGTCCGGGCAGCAGTCCGGGGCAGAACGGGGCCAGGCAGAGGCAGAGGCAGGTCCAGGGCAGGTCCAGGGGCAGGTCCAGGGCCGGGACCCCAGCTGCGTGGCGTGCAGCGGCCCGCTGGGCCCGAAGGTTTCCAGCGGCAACCAGAGCGTCCTGGGGCCCAGCGAGGAGGGGCCGGTGCTCGTCTCCTCCAGGTCCTTGGCCTTGTCGTAACTCTGGACGTCCCAGTGGAGATTCACGGCGCGCCAGCGCAGGAACACGTTGTACACTGCTGCCCCCTCGTGGACAATAAGGCCTGTTACAACGACAGGAGATCAATGAATAAATGTTTATATTATGATTGATTTAGGACCAAACTGAAAAAATAAAAATAAAATCACATCAATCATACAAATATGAGAATAATGCTTCAATATTATGACTTTATTCTCAAATATTAATTTTAATATAACTTAATATTTTGTCTTTATGTTAAAATTGTAAGTATTATTTTTAAATTATTATTAGAATTATTACTATTATTTTCTAAAGCTTTGTTGTGGGAAATTAACCCTTTTTTCATAACCAGCTATGCACTGATAACCCATTCAACTTTTAATTATTAATCCATCTCTTCATGTTTTCCAGTGATATAAATATCAAGCTAATATTTCCTGTCACTTTTCAAAAAGATAAAAATTCACACCATTCATGTAACACAAAGCTGCTTTGAGCCAAAAATGTAAAAAAGTCAGAATAATCTGATTAAATCTGTAACTTTAATTTAAAACGATGTGAGCCGACTCTGGATCCATTGCAAAGTTGAACTCTGCACAGACCGTCGCCATGTTGTGACGGTTTGTTAGGAGTCAGTCTGTGACCATATGGAGGAGGAGGGTCTTATCGCTGCCAATCAATGCTGCTCAATGTGCTCAGGGTCCTGCTGCCCACATCAACGATTTAAAATCTAATGAGTGGTTTAATGGAAGTGAATGCTGCAGAGTCATTCCTGTGCTGCGGGTGGACGGACCTACGCAGACCAGGTCCATGAAGCCGTACATGCCGTAGCAGATCTGGAAGAGGACGTCTCTGCGCTGCCAGACGGCCTGCGGGCTGAGAGCCGACCAGAGCAGCCAGGAGATGCTGGCCACCAGGAAGAGCGAGCCCAGGAACACGGCGATGATCTGCACCTTCTCCACCAGCGTGATGGTGATGGGCTGCCACTGAGGCGGAGGACAGAAAACCTCACACATCCACGCAAACAGGACCTTCATTCAGTTCATTCAGTTCATTCAGCTACACTGGAAGGAAAACCTGTTTCTCAATATATTCACTGGAATTTTATTTGATGCAACAACAAAAAGCAGTGAGTTAGAAGGAAAACGATGCACTGATTTAAAAATGTTTCACAAACAGAAAATAAAAAACTGCTGTATGAAATCCAGCAGTTTAATGACCTAATTAATAAACACTTATATATGAGACTTAAGAGTCGTTCTGTTTAGACTCTGAAAACCTGCGAGACCTGCATTTATCTTTCATCATTTAATCACTGCTCAGGTTAATATCAGCTCAAACTGACTTCCTGTTTACCTGCCACGGTCTCTTCATGTTGATGGCGATGACCTGGAAGCGATAGCAGCAGAGCTCACAGGTCCAGCAGCCGCGCTCACTGATCCACTTCAGCAGACACTGCTGATGGGTGTACCGGACCGAGCCGTCACAGCGGCACGGGTTCAACAGGTCACCCTGCAGCCGACACACAGAGGCACGCACACACACACACACAGAGGCACACACACACAGAGGCACGCACACACACACACACACAGAGGCACACACACACACAGAGGCACACACACACACACACAGAGGCACACACACACACACAGAGGCACACACACACAGAGGCACGCACACACACACACACACACACAGAGGCACACACACACACACACAGAGGCACGCACACACACACACACAGAGGCACACACACACACACAGAGGCACACACACACACACAGAGGCACACACACACAGAGGCACGCACACACACACACAGAGGCACACACACACAGAGGCACACACACACACACACACAGAGGCACACACACACACACAGAGGCACACACACACACACACACACAGAGGCACGCACACACACACACACACACACAGAGGCACACACACACACAGAGGCACACACACACACACACACACACACACACACACACACACACACACACACACACACACACAGAGGCCAGTTAACAGGGAAGCAAAATCCATCTTAATGGTCGTTTATCACACATAAACAGAAACATGGCGGCGGTGACGGCATCATCCAGGAGTTTTTGTCAACTGGATGAAATTATGAATAAATTTAAATACCAAGCGAATCTGGTTCAAAACATTCAGGCGTTTTCTAGAAATAGAAAACGCCTGAATATATTTTAACATATTTTGTCTTTATGTTAAAATAAAGACAAAATATTGTCTATTTTAAAACGGCAAATATGACACGTGAAGTGCAAATAATGAGCTAGTGGGGCCCAGCGCCCCTCAGTTTACGAGAAAAAAATAAATAAATAAAAAGATTAAAGAGGAAAAACGAAAAGGAAAAAAAATTCTCATGATGCATCGTTGATAAACAGAACATCGGCTGATTGATTCCAGGGAGACGAATTCAGCCGCAAATGCCAAAAAGTGAAATGAAAAGCTTTAGGTTCAGTAATACCTGTAACATCATCGCTTTCTGGACAGAAATTCTGGAACGACACAGAATCCTCAGGGCTGTCATTAAAAACAGGGTCAAATATTTTCATCTATCAAAGTTACAAAGTTTTGTATATTATTTTGCTTCTCCAGTCCCTTCAATAAGCTCCAGAGAGAAACTGTCTGCTTCCCATCGATTGCCCGGGATTAATCCTGCGCTCGTCGTTTTCCAGCCTCCTTTCTCCTCCAGCAGGTGATCCATCAAAGCAAACCAGTAACTCGTCCACCAGAGGGCCTGAAATCCAGGATCATTCCTCAAAGCTGCAGCAGGACGCAGCCTGGCATCAATCATCACAGACAATCTATTTATTCCTCCTTCCGGGGTTTTTCCAGCGCAGACGTTCCTGCAGGACCGACCCACGGGCCCGACCCGCAGGACCGACCCACGGGCCGACCCGCAGGACCGACCCCGCAGGACCGACCCGCAGGAACGACCCG